AATGAGAATTCAATCATCCTAGTGTAAATTGTTGACTCGGTTAACCTATTCAAGTATACAAAAGATGTATTGTAAAATCTTGAGCCAAGGGGATAAAGGTTTTGTGCAAATTCAGGGAAAGTGGTGTTGGATTGGTCCCTTTTTTTTACTGTCTAGCACTTGCTAACAGTAGCATCCCAGATGAACACTACTAATACACTGGAACACACTGCAGTGCATTAGGTGTCAAGAAAGACTCTGAGAGTGTAAAAAATGTGCATTATACAGATAATGGGGACCAGACATTGGAAGCAACGCTTATGTCAAGTGCCAAAGTAGAGCCAGTCAAGCAGTTTCTATGCTTCTGGCACTGGCCAGTAGAAGAAGCTGAACAGAAACTAAAAGTAAGTGGCTTTCTTAAATCCAGATGATCTTCCTTAGGGCCACTTACAACATATACATTTAAGTATCAAACTGGGAGGACCAGATCAGCTTAGGACCAGGGGGACATAATGGTTATTTCTGCAGGCTTGGAGCCTACTTTGCCTCAAGTACTTTTCAGCCACAGCTGAAGGTCTAAGCTTTGGTCCTTGTATTAAAAGGACATGAAAAGGAAATTACAGAAAAATTCTCTGTGAAACCTTTCCCTTTTTCATCTGTCTCAATACTGTCACACATTGCTGTCTCAAGGAATAGCATTGCACTTCTATTTACATTATACTTTTATCAAAAATGAAGGGTATTAATCACCCATCTTCTGTGGCAAACATGGAAATTGAATAATTAATGACCAGTTACAAGCCTCGTTCTTCACCCTCAGGCAGCCCTGGGCAGCTCTGCATTTTCACTTTATTTTTGTCTGTTGTATATGTGTGTGTTTCATTTTGCACGTAATTTTCCTCCAATCTGAATAATTGAATTTTATAACTCATTTTGGTTACCTGAGGTAGTTCAAAAGCTATTCAAAACAGTAAGGACCACAGAAATAAAACTGTCTTCTGACCACCAAGCCTTCTGCTGGCACACGCTTGTGAGAAGCTACAGTGGGGGTAGCAGTTTCAGGTTTCTCTGCTTCTCTTTCATATATCTGGAGAGGTTCCTGGTTTGATTTGGGGAGGCACTGGTAGGTGCTGTGTCCTTCGACACATGAAATGCTTCATTTTATTCCTGGTGCAATGGGATAATCAGCAATCACCCACATCCAAAGAACCTGAGAAATGTCTACTTCCTTCACCATGGTCTGTACTTGATATTCCTCAGCCTCTGCACAATGCAATGGGTTCAAAAAGGCTCTTGCAGAAGTTTCCTAGCAAGTTCCTCACTGTGGCTTCCACCTGTTGCCTCATCTGGATTTCTCTACACCACAGACATCAGTTCTCCCACTTTCCCCATGCACTGGCCCTGAAAATACACGGTATTTTGCCTGCAGGCCACTGTGAAACCGGGGCAATGCAGTGGAGCTCTGGAGTCTGCCATGTAAAATAGAGAGGCATATTTATCTGGGACAAAACTAGCCTTGGTTTGCTGACTAAGTTAGTCAAGCCAGAGATCTGGTACTTTGTACTGCTGCAAGGATTACTAAAGTGTAAAATTTATTGAGTATTATGAAATTAAAATGTTGTCCAGTGGCTGATCTGATACATAGTCACTGACACGTCCAGCTGCTGACTGCTGCACAGAGAGGACAGCAAGGGTCCAAACAGCCGTGTGCAACTAGAAGGGTTGCTTTGAGCTGATTTTCTGTCTTTCTCAGCTGCCAGTGTTTTATCACTGTGACCAGTCCAGCTTTCCAAGGTTACTATATTGTACGCTTTGGATAGTCATCTGTTAAAAATGCTAAAACATTCTGAAAAATGGTCATTAATCTTGAAATTGTCAGACAAATTATTTTCAATGAGCCCTGATGGCTCATGTGCTGGAAGCCTGGGAGGGCGCTTGAATTAAGTTTAATCAATAGGTACATATGGTATTGGATGCATCCAGGTAATTTGTCATCCAGGAACTTGAAATGAATGTGCAGCGTTACACTTTATTGGGAGTCACAGTGGTGACACTAATGAATATACAAAACCCAGCAGCAGCAGCAAGGGCCATTCAACATTGCAGCATCAGAACTATTTTTAAATAGGATTTTCAATAAAAACATTGTCCCATTCCAGGAAAAAAAATGTTTTCTGCAGAATCATGTTGATTCCAAAACCAGAAAACAGGAACTTTTTTGGCTGAGAGACAAAATATTTCATCTGGAGAAGCTGTGATGATGTGTCACCCTGCAGCCCCACTCCCGCCTTGGGGCCATGGTCCATGCCTATTTGTCAGTCAGGGTGCACCACAAACACAGAAGCCTAATGATGCACTACTGCACTTCAGACATAGCCATAATGTTTCCACATATCCCAAATTTACCACTTGTCAAATGGGAAGAAGAACCATCAGTGCTACATTGTGATGGTCTGAGATTTAGGGGTAGGGGCGCTTTTTTTTGCTTTTTTTTTTTTTTTTTTTGATCCTCCTTTTAAGGTCCTTTAAGGGAACAGACTATTGACTCCAAACTACTATTACTTAGCAATCAGTACAGATTATGTAATGCATTTTGTTCAGACTCTCTAACTCTGACATATCACTTGCAAATAATGCAGCTTCTCCCCCTTGTTAGCAATAATTTTCTGCTTTATTCTTTATGTTTCCCCGATCCCTTCTGACAGCAAATGTCAAATAGGAAAACTCCAAATCATCCAAAAGGAGACACTTTCTATTAATTTCCTTTTTAGCACAGTCTCACGATTCTCCTGGGTTACTGATAGTAGAAGATCTAATATAGTTTGCATTTCTTGCAAGCTCAGACTTATTTTTCTTTATACTACATTTGGTCATGCAGTGGAACCATTGCAGCCAGATTTGCCCTGAAAAGCTACAGTGTGGTCACTATGCAAGACTAGTCTAAAACTATCGGTAATCAGCTGCTTAGGTTATAACTATTGTACCATTACAGATATCAAATGCTCATAATTTTAAGACCAAATAAAATATTTAACATATTCTATATAAAGGCAGATAGGAGGAATTATTTGGGTTGATTTGACTGAGTTTTTCCATTTTATTCTAGTTATTAATAGTTTCTCTCTAATCATCCTGTCATCCACGAGCACAGTCTTCATTTTGTCCTTCTCATCACACTTCTCTCTTTGCCACAGTTCTGAGGTGCTTGGGGATACCTGCGAGACTTGTTACCAACTATTCTTCTGCCCATGATAACAATGCCAATTTACGGTTGGACTTCTTTCTGGATGACGAAGGGCAAGTGGACACCAAACTTACAAAAGACTCTGTCTGGTGAGTTCTCCTGGCAAATGTCTTTAATGTGTCAACTGTATAAGTAGTAATAAATGCAACAGCAATGCCTGTGGTTTATTTATTTCTCGGTGCATTAAAGAACACTGCTAGCTTATGTAAAACAGACTTAATGGATTGTTAGTAGGCTGACTAATATGAAGTGCTTGTCATGTAAAGACACATACCCTAGGGGATCCCGCTACTAATGTTAGTATTCTGTATAGTGCATATTTAAGCACACTGGAGGGGAGCTGGAATGGGTTTGTGCTCCATAAGGTCAGGCCATTTCTGAAAATGGAAAGGTGTAAGATAGGCATTTCCAGGCTCAAAGGCATACCTCAATATCTATAGAAAAAAGCCTGTCTTGTCCTGCTTCTGCCCAGTTCCCGTATTTGTAGGCTGGTTTTACATTGCATACATGCAGTCACTGTCACAAATAGGGACTTTCCAAAATCCAGTTCAACTGAAAAAGAAATAAGCCAAAGTATCATACAAGTTATGGAAGTGCTATCACCAGATTTATGAAAAGAAAAATCCCTAGGAACAAGAAATGGAGTCTACATATTCTTTTGGAGAAGACAGTGCTCTAGCTTCCTCCTCAAACTCTTACTGTCTGCTGTCTGACAGTAGAACTGCAGCATATATTGATTATATGCTCTGTTCAGCAGAAATTATGTGTGGGTTATTGGGCCTCAAGCCTCTCCTCCTCAGACTGAAGCAGTGAAAGTGACCTCCATATATATTCCTATATACAGACGATATTTGTCCTGTTCAGTGTTAATATACCTGATATTTGTCAATGATATCTTCAACTCATCAGCATAGCTGCTCATCAGCATGTTTCATTAACAACAATCTCTGGAATATTAAAACTGTAATAAACCCATTCTGTGTTGGAGGAAATCACTGAACCTGTTGCTGTAACCTCTTTTACGTGATTTCCATAATCTGCTACCAAGAGGGAATCTAAGGAAAACAATTAGGTTCACTTAAATCTGAAGCTTGTATCACAGCATCACAGAATGGTCAAGACTGGAAGGGATCCCTGGAAGTCATCAAACCCTGCTGCCCAAAACAGGGTCAGCTAGAGCAGGTTTCTCAGGGCTATGTCCAGCTGGGTTTTGAATATCTCCAAGGATGGACACTCCACAACCTCTCTGGGAAACTTGTGCCAGTGCTCAACCACTCTCACCATAAAAAAAGTGTTTCCTGATGTTCAGACAGCATTTCCCGTGTTTCAGTTTGTGCCCATTGTTTCTTGTACTGTCATTGGGGGCCACTGAGAAGAGTCTGGCTCTGTCTTCTTCCCCTCAACTCCCTAACGAGGCATTTATACACTTGGATAAGATCCTATTGAGCCTTCCCATCTCCAGGCTGAACTGTCCTAGCTCTCTCAGACTCGCATACAGCCTCTAGTGTATCAGGCAAATGTGACACCTATCTTCAAGAAGGGCCGGAAGGAGGATCCGGGGAACTACAGACCAGTCAGCCTGACCTCAGTACCGGGGAAGGTTATGGAGAGGTTCATCTTGAGTGTGCTCACCAGGCACATGGAGGACAATCAGGGGATCAGGCCCAGTCAGCATGGGTTCATGAAGGGAAGGTCTTGCCTAACCAACCTGATTTCCTTCTACGACCAGGTGACCTGCATGGTAGATGAGGGAAAGGCTGTGGATGTTGTATACCTGGACTTCAGCAAAGCCTTTGACACAGTCTCCCATAGCATTCTCCTGGAGAAGCTGGCGGCTCATGGCCTAGATGGATATACTCTTCGCTGGGTTAAAAACTGGCTGGGTGGCCAAGCCCAGAGAGTGGTGGTGAATGGAGCTAAATCCAGTTGGCGTCCGGTCACAAGGGATGTCCCCCAGGGCTCAGTTCTAGGGCCAGTCTTGTTTAATATCTTTATCAATGACCTGGATGAGGAGATTGAATGTGCCCTCAGTAAATTTGCAGATGACACCAAACTGGGTGGTTGCGTTGATCTGCTTGAGGGGAGGAGGGCTCTGCAGAGAGACCTGGACAGGCTGGATCGATGGGCCGAGGCCAACTGTATGAGGTTCAATAAGGCCAAGTGCCAGGTCCTGCACTTTGGTCACAACAACCCCATGCAGCGCTACAGGCTTGGGGAAGAGTGGCTGGAAAGCTGCCTGGCGGAAAAGG